AAAGAATTACTGAAATAAATCTACTTTTTCATGATATTCTAATTTTATGACCAGCACCTGTATATATCATTACAATACAGATTTGACTCCAACATGTGAAGTGATGAAACGTACCTGGTTAAACTTGAGGCACTGGCACTCTGCAGTCTGAGAAGAAACAAGGAGATGATGTCAGAACGTTATCAGTCAGAACCATCATCAGTCACAGAGTTTGTCTCCATCCCTTGAAGCCAACAAGCCCTTCGTCACAATAAAGACATGTTCTGTGTGTTCAGTGGTTTGGGAGCAGCTGGTCATGTTTGGATCCACACAGACTGTGAAGAAGAAACTAAAGCAGAGCTGAGATGGTGCAGTTCAGCCCCACGCAGCCTGAGCTGCTGTGGAGGAGATAGCAGCAGAGGAAAGAGGAAGTGGTAGAGATGTTGTGATGCTCGTGCACATCACAGAGTGAAGCAGAGCTTTTCATGCACCTTACAGAAAACAGATTGGAGACTTTTTTCTCCAAAGTGGAAGAAAGAAAAGCTCCTGAACAGACGTGTTTGTGGCTCATTCTGACTGGAAACAGAAAACACTGTTTTCACTTCCTGTAGCCATTTTTCTACAGTCTGTCCACTCAGACTGAAGTCACTGAGACCTGATTTATGACTCAATACAACTCAGACTGTTGTTCAATGKTTTAGTCTGAGCTTTGAAATAAATGCAACTGAAACATTATCAATTTAAAGCCCTTTAAAAAGAGCAGAGAGCAGAACTAAGCCCCAGAGACAAACAGGAAGTTGAGCAGGCTTAACGAAATAAAACAGGAAGTCAACAAACACACCAAACTCAGACTGAACACTAAAGGAGCACAAACTAGTGATGTTTGATACTGCCAATTCTCTTTCTGACACTGATACCAAGTAAACTGTGGCTGGTATCGGTGATACTGATCCAATACTGATACTTTGATAACACACATAATGTGTCTGGTAAAACTTAAAAAATAGTGTTTTCCTGTTAATGATACATTATGTGAAATAACTGAAGTATCAAAGTATCGATATTTTGATTTTAGTGTCGATTCAATAACAAAGTTCTGGTATCGGTAGTTTCAATATTTCAGTATTGATCTGCACATCACTAATGTAAACACATGGAACTGAAGCAAAGCCAGCAGACTGACTGATGTCAGATCAGTAACATTTAATCAGAACAACTACATGACTGTAAGGAAACAACAGCTTCACTGAACAACTTTAGGTTTGAACAGCTTCAACTGAATTGATCAGAAACTGTTGAGAGTTGAAAGGAAACAGGACAGATCKGCTCTTTAAAACTGAACAAGTCACTAAAGAGGCAGAGAAGAAGGAACTGATTCTTACAGAGGTGGTAGAGTTGCAGTTCTTCTCACAGTGCTGTGAAAAAAGACACAGAGGATATCAGAGCAGAAGATGACATGAAGACAACGAAGCTGCAGCAGCAGCAGCAGACACACACTTTACTTTATCTGTCATCATTAAAGACACACACTTTACTTTATCTGTCATCATTACAGACACACACTTTACTTTTTCTTTCATCATTAAAGACACACACTTTACTTCATCTGTCATCATTAAAGACACACACTCTCTGTGTGGCTCACTGAACAACACACACTTTGACTTTCTCTGTCCAGATGAGAGCAACAAACTGTTTGAGTGAGCAGCTCAGGAAGGAGACGGCTCCAGCCTCCAACACTCACAACATTTAGACAACAGTGGCTGAAATGATTGGTTGTCATGATGCATGAAGAGTCTGCTGCTTCACATTCAAATCAACACTGAGGGTAAAAAACTCAGAGTACACTTTGGTCTCATCTTACCTGCAGTTTGTTTATGGTATGATTCACATTAGTGAACATCTCGTTTCCTGATGCTTTGCATTGGACAGGTGCAGCAGTGGACTGATGAAGAGTGAGGAAGACAGTCAGCAGCAGCAGGAGCGTGCACACAGATGATGAAGAAGATGATGCAGTCATGATGAAGAGGGTGAGGATCCTGTCAGAACCTGCAGCAGGTCTTGTTGGAGGACGTCTGTCTTGTTGGTTTGTTGATGGATCTGAGAGCTTCGCTGCTTTTTGATCAAGACGTCGGGTCATTTCCTAACGGTGGGAAATCCCAACTCTTTGTTGTCCATGTTTGATCATTTTCATTCAAACTTCTCCCACGCAGGATGCCCTTACTTAGCAGGACCCTGACACTGTGGCAAGTGTGCTGCAACATCAGCCACATATCAGTCAAATCTGACTGCGTATGACTGTCGCGGCATTTCCTCACCTCTCTGAAGACCTGGCTGTCATCGCACAGAGGAAAATAAGACACAAAGATTTTCTTTCCTGAACTTCAGCTGCTGTGAGTGGGTAGAGTGTCAAAGCAGGTGAACTCTGTTCTCCACCTTCAAACAGGACACAACCCACAGAAACGACAGCAGTCCACTCAATCTGTAGCTTCATCTGTCTGCATCTTCATTAACTCAAGGCCCGGTCCAAATATCTCACAGGAGTTTTTGCAAAGCATTGTAATTGTTCACAATGTCATGTGTTTGTGTATGTTTACATGGAAGAGATAATTTTGCTTCATCAACTCCGCTTCCAGAAATTTCTTCTAAATAAATAAATAATTCAAACCAAACAGAGAAGTCATAAATTTAGCTGAACACTGAGCTCGCTTTGACAAAGTTCAGAAATCATCACCAGATTCTCTGAGGAGAGGGAAAACAGGTGAGGCTGTTCAGGAAGCAGGAGAAGATAATATTCACAATGAAGCCACCAACCTCAGAGCAGCTTGAGCGAGAATGGAGTAATAATAAT